TATATATATATATATATATATATATATATATATATATATATAGTCATGATTGACACTGTATATGCATTTTAACTTCTATTTCGAGAATAAAAATATAAACTTGCAGTTTGGTATATTTTTAATATTTTATTCTTACTTTAGTTTTTTTATCTTAGCATTAGCGTTTTTAAAACTCATCTACACTATTAAAATTGCATCTAAATTGCCAATGCTAATCGATAACGTTTTCCCATATAAGAGCAACTACAACCTAGTATGATCCCATGATCACGAAGAGTAAGATGTGTGGAAGATATGTGTAACTAGACCTTCCTCCAACTAGAAAGCAGAAATGTTGTTTCCAAGAGATCCTTAACTTAGTAACACGGATCAGAAACATAGCACAAGGGCAAGCACATAAAGCAAAGAAAGTATAGAGCACAAAAATAACAATGAACAACTAAAAATAATAATAGAGAAGCACAACAAACATAAAGCAAACAAGAAGAAGGCACACAACAAAAAATGGGAAAACCACCACTCAATCCAACACGCCTACTATACCCAACAACCATAATCCTAATTCCTAACTCTCCAAATGTTAACATCTAAAACCATATTTTTGGTAAGAGCAAGAAGTCTTATATCCTGTCTAAGCACCTCGTTCAAGTTCTTCTTAGGTCTACTATTTTCCCTACTCTCATCCACCACCGACAACCTCCCAACCCTTCATAAACAAGACTAAAATTGTTAATGAATTCACTAACATGTGACCCGACTACACCGAGTGGGATAAAACTTTGTTGTTATTGTTGGTGTTGTTTTTTGTAATTAATGGACATGCGTCTCATTAGTATAAACAAAGGTATTGATATAGATAAGTTCTTACATGATCTTAAAATCCATGCTCATTTTTTGAATTTTAATGTGTTGATATCATTAAAAAATTGGGCCTTTTGTGAACAAGAAAAGTTTCACTTACCAACCAATGAAAATAATAAGATTCACATTTCACATGCGAACTTTAAGACACAGAAGAACAACTCATTAATATATTATACGCCCAAAAATAATTGATGAGTGAATGATAAAATCTCAAAGTTGACCCGTTAAGTATAAGAAATGATTGGAGTTTGTGTATGATTTTGTCCACATTGGAACATGCAAAAAATAAAGCATGCGCGCTCGAGGGATGCAAGAAGTGGGATGAGTCTTCGAGATCTCATACCCCGACTCCTGGGCTTATTGTCTCGATAACTCGCCTTCGAATTTCGGGCCCTAGGCTCCTTGTCTCAATGTCTCGACTCCAAGTTCTGGGACCCCGGGCACATACATTTTTAAATTTATAAAAATGAATATTATATTTCTCTCAAATGAACATTTAACGCATATAAAACTAAAATAAACAAATATGAAAGATGAATATTTTTTTTGCTAAAAAATTGTTCTTAACCATAAGAATTAGACTCTACTCTTTCGCACGAGTAAAATCCTTTCTTGAGCTTTTCAAGTGTCCTCTATCTTCTTCTTTCTTCTTCTCCCCGGCGTAGCAGTCGAGGTCGAGATGGCGTCAATGTCCGCCCTTAGTATTACTGCTCGGATTCCGAATCTTCAAGGTTCTTCCGTCTCCTGAATATCTCTCGGTTTACCACTGTTCTAGAGATTTCAGCTTTTTTTGGGGTTTCCTGTTCTCAATAATCTAGAAACTAGCGGACTTCAATTCAGCCTTTTTATTCTTATATAGTTGATCTTTTTCTGAAGAGAGTGAAATCTAAGTTCCCAATTGTTTATTTGTTGCCAAAGATGCAATCTTTATGTATTTGGTTCATGGGTTTATGTTGTAGTGAGAGTAGGAAAAGGATAAAAAGAATCAAAATTAATTTCTTGAGAAGTTGCCAGACACCAATGTTATTGTTATTTGAGTTAAGATCCATATAAGAATATCACATAGTGAAGTGGGTTTTATTGGAGTTTCTCAAGAATGCTGAAGATCAGATATTGAAGAAGGTTATATACAGCCATCAATGCGAAGTCATGGTTAATAGAATTTAGTTGCAACTAAATTATTTCTGGATTGTTTTTTAGATTGACATTAAAATCACTAGTGAGGACTGTTATGGAATGCAACACTTGACAATATGTTGCGCGTGTCCGAAACATTCCCATATGGGCACATTGGGACATTTTGACACTCACCTTCTTTGTATAATTTGGAAAAATGTGTGTTTCTCTGTCCCTATGCGAGTACCCGTCCCCGTCGTGCAACTTAGCTTAACATTTTGCTGTTTCTGCAGGAAAACCGGTTTCCAGCACACCTCGAGTTGGTTTTCCTACCCGATCACGTGTTGGTTATGGATTGTCCGTGGACAAGCGTGGACCTCTAAGAATCTATGCATTATTTGGAGGAAAGAAAGATAATAATGATGAGAGTGATGATGGTTCTTCTAAGGTATGTTGCGAGAATATTTTACGTAAAACATGATCTTGGCATGCGAAAATAGATATGTCCTCTTGCATTTTTCTTTTAGTTTCTTCAGATAGTTTTTCTTAAACAGTGAAAAATGATTCTTTTTTGATTTTTTTATTGTGTCAACTGATTATAGATTTCTATAGTTAATGTTGAATAAGATTTTATCATATAGCACTTGTGTAAGAAAGAAGCAACAACAAGACGAGTTGAAATCACTTATTACAAAGTTACCTTTGGTTAAACTGATAGGCGGGCTTTTTGGGGAACATGCAAAATTTGTATGAGACCGTGAAGAAAGCACAAATGGTGGTCCAAGTTGAAGCAGTGAAAGTGCAGAAAGAACTTGCTGCGTAAGTTTGTCATTGTGCCATGGATTAATCCTTCTAATAGCAGATAATTAATATCCATATCAGAAAGTTCGGCTAGGGTTTGCTATTTTGTCCTATCTAAGGTATGAAACAAATCAAAAAATTATGATTGGACAATTTGAATATACATATTTGAATATGAATCCGAGCTCGGACACACACACGAACAAAATAAAAGGAACAAATACGAATTGATTTTTGAGATTTGAATGATGAATGAATGTTCCTATCCGTGCGTATATATATGTAATAATGTGCAACTCGTTATAAATGCATCATATTGGTCTAAGATATTGTCACAAAGATGGGGTTTCTTCTACAGAGCAGAGTTTGATGGTTACTGTGAAGGTGAGCTAATCAAGGTATGCTATTTCTTTTTTCCCCAACCACAACTCTATTTAACAGGTTAATCTTAAAGATAAAGTCAATTACATTCTTTAAAATAATAATGAGAACAATCCAGCAAAGGGTAGCTGATATTTTTATCATTTTGTAGATTAGAAATGGGTACAATTATTGCAATGATGCTATAAATTGTAATTTACTCCGAGTATGATAACAATAATACTATATAGGGGAATATACCTAGATGGTACTAACACATAGCTAGTTTTTCTGTATAGTACCATATATTTTGGTGTCCTTAATTCGTATCTAATTAATTATTTTTAATGCAAATGAACCAATATGCCGTTTTGGTAAAATCTATCCTGGTTTTAATGACTATCTTAGATTCAATGTCCGATCTCAATATCTTTAGTCTTATACTAAAAAAATTAAAAATAAAGAAAGAGTGCAGCCGGAGAATGAAGTAAAAAAATGAAAGATCAGAACTGCCGGCTAAAAAAAGAAAGAAGAAGAAAGAGTGCCGCGGCGTAGGGATTTGATTGATGGATTAGAACTAGCGTTTGGGTATATTATATTGAGCGTATAAGGGTATTGTAGAAAAAAGGTTAAGTTTTGGTCTATATGTAAGCACTCACAACGGAGCTACTCATACGTGAATTTATACCATCAAGTCTCAATAAGAGTTGTTTGCAGGTAACCCTCTCTGGAAATCAACAACCTATACGCACTGAGATTACCGAAGCTGCTATGGAGTTGGGTTCTGAAGTGAGTTTTCTTGGTTTATACACTTAAAAAGCTTTACAATTTTACAGTAGTGATACAATTGCAATGCCTTTTGTTGTTTAGAAACTCTCACTTCTGATTACGGAAGCATACAAGGATGCTCATCAAAAGAGTGTCCAGGTAAGAATCTTATTTTGCAATGGAGTTCAAAAAAGTGTTAAAATTTGAAAAGTATGTGGTTGAAAATTGTTTAGATGAACATCAACATACCCAGTAAATCCCACAATCCCACAACCTGAGGATCTTGGGAGGGTGTGTGTACACAACCTTACCCTTGCTCGGAATTAGAGAATTTGTTTAGATGAGAGAGTTTTTGAGCCGCATGTTCACTTTTTGAAAAGTAAATAAGGTAAGTAGGAGTTTTTTGGAACATCCAAAAAGGAGAAGTAAGAAGTTTTTTTTGTAGGATCACATAAAAAGAATCATATTTGTTACTTGGTTTTTGGTTTTTGTCCTGTAAAAAGTGTTCTATTTCTTAAATTGGTTTAAAATACAGATATATTTAGTGTTTTCTTAGACTTAAACCTTACTAAAATTAAAAGTTGTACATTTACCAAAGCGGAAGCTTGTTATGGAACGGAGGGAGTATGTTTCTGCATTTTGTGAGTTGTTCATCCTTTGAGGGTGTTTGGGATTGATTATGCTTTTGGAGAAGTTGTCAAACATTAACAATATGCTTTCATCCAACACAAAATCTAAGAATCATTCACTAGAAGCAAGGCTGAACACCTTCTTCATGTATTATTCCTTCTGAACGTTGTTCCTTTGTTATTTTCAGGCTATGAAAGAGAGGATGAGTGATCTCGCCCAAAGCTTAGGGATGCCACCAAGCCCCAGTGGAGGGTCCAAGCAGTGATAGATTATCTGTCTTGAGTTCATAGAAAGTTTGAGGCAAAATGTACACCGATAGTGTTGTGAACATAATTTTCTTGGTTCTATAACTTAAGATACAAATAATGATCTTTTTTCTTTCTCGTTTTCTGTTGGAGAGTTACATATTTTTATCTTCCCTATGCATTGAGATTATAGAAATGAAAAAAAGTAAATGGTTCCCATAATAATCATTTTTCTTTTTATTGAATCATGACTATTCTGATACATATTGCAATAAATAAATCTTGTTCTATTTAGCTAGTCCCGTAATTTTCACGGGAACAATGAATTGTATCAGAAGCATCGCAGGTTGCTATCAAGATTTGGGCAATTGTTTGCCAGCCAAGAATGACTTGAACAATAGAAAAGCTCTCCTTGGTTGAAACAAGGGCACTTCATGGCCAGCTCCTCTCACTGTTGCAAAGGTGAGTCCTTTATACACCTCCGCCCACCCTCCCACCTACAAATTTCATTTTATATTTATGTTAGTCCCATTTTTCCTTTTCTTTTCCTTTTTAAAGACAAAGACTTTTATAGACGAAAGCACACACCTGCCCGGCAATGTACCAAGGGTACCATGGTGTATGAATCTTGAGATTGAGGTGGCTAAGAGAGAACCTTGTGGCTGTTACAGGAACAACTGAATCTGTATCTCCACTGCAATTAATTGTAAACAGTAAGGGTAAATAGCTAGTCTCTACATATGACTCTTAACCATGTTCGTGCAAAGGCCTTATGCATCTATGAGTTTCTTGAGTAGGCAAATGGTTAATTATCTACCTATAAAGTAATGGGTGTCATTCATTTAAAAGCACTAACAAAAATAGGCCAAACATATACCTTTGTTCTTTTTAGATCACCTAAGATCACTTTTATGCCTTTAAAAGCTAGACCAAATGGAGGGGATATATACCTGAACACCCAAATTCTAAGACCAGCAGCTATCAGCTTCCTGTATATCGGTAGCATTGAAATTTCTGTATCGTTCCAGTTCTTTAACAATGTGTCACTGTGATAAGAATTACTAGTGTCAACACAACATTTCTAATGAATTATCTTTAATTGATGAAACATACTCCGTAAAAAATTAAAAAATAGATTAGAAAAAAAAGTTAATATTCAGGTTACCTGCAAGCGGTCCACTTGTAAGGAATTGCTGTAGAATTTGCATGCATGGCTTTCTGCACATCTGGTCGGTTATAATATATTTCTGCATAACGTTCGGTACATGGATCATAGCCAGAGACTCTTCTGTGTATAAGGGTGTTCTTGAGTCTTATGAGGGTACCACTACTGTTGCTTGTTTCCCTACAAGATGGTGTATATATGCTATACTGGTCAATGCTCCCAAATTCATTGTTCACGGCATAATCCACTGCATCGTCACACTTGGATGAAGTCGTATGCGATGTAAAGTTGCATGAGTTTAGGATAGTCTTATATGACTTGTCCGAAATCATTGCATGAGTCCACCAGTACGTCACCGTCCCAATGTTGTCATAGTTGTTGTCTGTAACAGCATTTCCAACCTGGTGTCACAAAAGTACTCCGTTTAGTTTAATTTCGATTTACCATACACGGAGTATGGGTATTTTCTTTTTTTCACTTTTGGTCCCATGACTATTAGGTCAATTTCACATTTCCCTTATGGCTTTCATTTTGTTTACTTTGTACATGACTATGAGTACAACAACATCCTTTGTTGTATTAACATGTGTAAACAAACACTCACAATAAACCCTTTAAAGTTGAGGATTGGCTTGGATGATCCTTTGTTGTAGTCAAAGATTTTGTTTGCTAACTGGGGAACATAATGCCCTAACCAAAACAAATAATCTGCATGTTAGAGACTGATATTCAAACTAGGAAATTCTCCAAAGAAGACAAAACTTGTCTACCTGCATAACTCTCTCCAGCAATGTAGAATTCTCTGTGTTGGTACTGTGGGAATCTTGACATCCATCTTATGAGGAAATTCAAGGCATCATGAGCTGCCATAAACACTAAGTTAATTATTGGTTTTGCCCCAAATACTTTTAGGGCATGTCCGGCTTGCGTTATTTGGCTGAAATCTTTGCAATTGGTAACATCCATTTCAGCCAAATAAGTAAGCCAAGAGCTACTTACAACGACAAATCCACTAGAACCCCACATGAGTAGGGTCCACGGGAGGCCCCACCCGCGAGTATCGTACCTGTTCTATTGTCCCCACTGTGTGTCAGGTCAGAGCTTGTATTTGTGTAGGAGAAGCCCACACCAGCCGGCGATTCCAGGAACAGAATATTTGCCACTGTAAGTATCGTTCGTTAAAACATGTTACTCGTGTTCTGTATTTGTTTTTGTTATTTTTTTGAACAAGTATTTATGCTTGCTTACATTTGTTCCACGAAAACCTGTTGAGATAGAGAGAAGAACCGGTTTTGTTGATCCGGAACGGACCTATTTCCTCAGATGCCCCGTAAGCCACCGAGGAACAACCTGGCCCTGCACATTATCAAATATATATAAACTGAACTCCCTTGAAAAACCCTTCCCCATGCTTCTTCTGGGGATCTATTAGATGATGAATTGCTGTGGCTAAATTAAAACATCAATTACACCTTTCATTTTATGTGAGCTTACCTGTCATTGAAGAGTCATTATCCATTGTTTTAATGTTGTGGGGCGTGAAATGTGTGTCTGTGTATTTTAATGATACAGTGATAGGTTTCTGTCCAATGTAGGTCAACAACCCCATATTTCATTTTCATGATACTGGGTTTTAATGATATAGGGGTAGATTTCTCGCTGTGACGATAACGGGTGATCATGACCTGCATGAAGCCCTTTCGACCCGTTTTGAGAAAATTCTCGAGAATCGAGATGAGGTTCATCCTTTTTTTCCGTCACACTTTTTAATTACAAAAAATTTAAAAAAAATGTGGGTCACAAAAGAAGAGGAAATGAATGGATAGAGATACATACAAGTGGGAAGAAATAAAGTCTTCAAACCTATAATAATTATACATACATACATATATCCATGCAGTGGGCAATAAGTGGAAGGCCAACTACTTATTATCTTCTTCTTCATCTTCTCTCTTGCAATCATTTATTTAGTTGATTATTCTAGTCCATGAACAGACAAGGGCTGTTTTATTATCATTACCCAAACAAAACCACTACCATTCATTAGAAACTATCTACCTCCCCTGGTTCCACTGACCAGGGTTTTGACCTTGAAATCAGAAAAAAAATTAGAAAGATATATAGAAATATATTTTGGGGGCTATTTTAATTTGGGCAGGTAGTTTTTGCTTTAAAATTGGTGTTAAATTAATATTATCATTAACAATGTGAAATTTAGAAACATTTGCTTTAATACAGTTAAAAATCCTAATTTTAAGTGTCAAATGCTAAAAAATTTGAACATATAGTCTGGTTTTAGAGAGTGTTTGGGAGTGTGTTAAATTGTGGAAAACTAGAAGTTGTTAGCAGAAGCGAAAAGCTCTTTTGGATTCTATTTTAGACTGCAGTAATCATAATCTATAAGAAGAAACAGATGGAGTTTAGTAGATTTAATACGGAGTAAATTATAACATTATATTGATTAGTGATTGTAACAAGGGAGTGTTTGGTAATTAAGACAGACAAGTTTAGAGTCATGCCACACATACTGAACTAGTGATTATCATCCATGCATCATCATCATCACTTTCACTTTCACTTCTATTATACATACATACATACATACATACATACATACATACATACATACATACATACATACATACATATATATATATATATATATATATATATATATATATATATATATATATATATATATCAATACGCATGCTTCAAAAGATCAGAGTGGTAAAACCAGAGCTATCATATTCTCCCATCCATCTTCTGCCCATTTTTGTCTTTCTACCATCTTTCTATATCTAAACCTCAGCATTAATTATGTAATTATCTAACACCTACCACACAATAAATTTAGTAATATTGTGATAAAACAACAATTTAATACCCCCTCTGTCCCATTTTAAATTGCATGTTTGTCTTTTTTCTCTGTCCCAAAATAAGTTGTCTGTTACTTGTTATCGTAAACTTTTAAGAGTAAAATACCTAAGCTACCTCTAAAACAAGTCACTCTTCTCTACCTTATCTTCTCATTCATCGTAACCCATCCTAAAAATTAATGACAATTTTGGAAAATCAACACTATTTTTTTTCTTCCTTAAATATGCCCAAATAACTAGTTTTTATTTTTATTTTTCCAAGAATAAATATATCCCATTTTTCACCTTTACCAATGTGGATCCATGCACATTCGAAATTAGCTTTTGAGAAAAAGATTGTCTCCTTTAATAATAGACTTGTTTATGATATGTCATGCATGCTACATCATTTTGGTCCTCACAAATGGAAATTAAAAAAAAAAAGACCTTTTTATGGACTTGTATTATCCACGGCCAACTAACATTATATTTTACTTAATTTCACATACACTATTTTTGTGTGCATGTGATGCTTCTAATAAGGTTGTACATATTTTTCAATTATTTTTCAATTCGAAAACCGGCTTAAAAAATATGAATTGTTTTAGTGACATCTAAACGAGTCAAAAACACGTGTTTGACAATGACAAAATTATTTAGTAAGAGAGTGTGACGATGAGATTTTAAAACAATTTTTCTTGAAGGTGTTACGTTTTTTTCCCTGAAAAGTTTTGCTTCTTGGCATTGCATGTGTGAAATTATAATTTCACTGCAGGCACAACCAAACAGGCTTTAAGTTAAGATCCCTATAAAGTTATTTTAAACTTTCCATGGCTTAATTTACCTATTAAATATCCTTATGGCCTGTTTTGGGGGAGACATTGGTCAATTATATTCCTTGATTAATAATTAATCTTTTTTAGTAACATTTGCCTAACAAATTGTCGCAAAACAGAAAAGGGTAAACTTCTCACTATTTACCATGTTTAAAATTTGGGTAAGTAATAGACTAATTTAATATAAATGACACATTATTTATTTTTTACATTACAATTGGATTTTTACAAGTACCTGGCTGGCTACATGAAACAAGGCCTCAAAACTATTATCCTCTCTACAGCAAGGATTACTATTGACCAAAAAATTAAAAATAAAAAACTCTTTAAAAAGTGTGCCAATTTTAAAGACCGACTACTTGTTTTGTAGTGTCATGTTTTTTCTCTGTTACTTCTTTTGTCCTTAACTATATTTTTTTAAACTGTCTTTTTATTTTTATTTTTTTGCGTCAAAATTATATCATCTTGAGTGTGTTCTTTATTTTATTTTTTTAAAAAAAAGTATGTGAAGAAAACAAAATCAACCACACATATATAATGCCTACATTTGTTTATTTATTTATTTTATTTGATTAGCCATTAGTACCTCTGTCTCGGTGTATTCGTCCATTTGGACTTTTTTGATCCAAACAAGACAAACTTTGAACTTTCATTAAATAAAAATGCCAATGTATTTTAGTATAAAAATTATTTCAAATAGATTTATCTTCTCGAGAAGTATTAAATTATTACTTTATTGTATTAATATGTAAAATATATACAACAGTAATTAATGTTTAAAATTAGTCCAATTTGACTTCAAAAATCAAATTGGACGAATACATACACTAGGACGAATGAGAGTATAATATTTATGATGCATTATTTATTATAAGTCCGATGAACGTGCACATATTTTATGTCTACTTTCATTTATTTTAATAGTCTTAAAAATCATAATGATTAGCTAATAACAACAAAAAGAGGTGGAGTAGTTAGCCATTTAATTCATAGTTAGCAGTAAAGTAAGTAGTTAGCCCAGAGTATCACTTAAAACAAGTCCTAAATAAACTTTAATGCAATAATGCATGCATATATATATATTCCTTTTCAAAATTAAAGTCTTCTAAGCATGAATAACATTTCATCATGAAATTCCCATGGGGGTTATACCCCTCTTAGCTTTTATACTTTCATAATAATGATACAAAAAACAAACTAATAATAATAATAATAGAACCGTTAATTTTACGAGTAGAACATCGTACCACCCCGAGTCATCCTATAACATTGCTTAGCAATGTCAGGGGAATCGGGATGATAATAATGAGTAATAACTAAACAACAAACCAACCCTTAATTAAAGCCGCACGATTTTTGTTTATTTCGGGTGGATCACATTTCTTCAATGAGAAAGACCACTTTGACTGGAACGACTGGATCTAAATAAAGTTATTCAAATTGTCACCGTAAAATTTAAATTTTTTTTATATACCCGAAATGATTAAACTGTGATGAATTGTATACTTTGACCAAGGTAAATTACATAATTCCTCTTAAATCATACTCCCTCCCTCCCATAAAACATTTCTGTTTCAAAAAAGGCGTGCCCTTAAAATGAGTAATTTTGGTGTTATTTTCTAATTTTGCCCTTACTTTATAAAAGAGTAGGATGAGATGTGTAGAATAGATTAGTCATAATTAAAAAATAACACTAAAATTACTCATTTTAAAGGCGTGCCATTTTTGAAACAGGAAATGTTTTATGGGACGGAAGGAGTAGAAAAATAAACATGCAGTAGAGATAAAATGTGAATCCTAAACAAAAAAAAAGATAATTTGTTATGAAATGAATACATTTAAGTGTAATTATGGAAAAAAATTGATAAAAGGGAGAGGGGGGGAGTAAATAACTAACCTCCATTAAGCCAGAGAACGAGAGGCTTGTGATCCGGGTCGGTGGTTGCTTCGGTCAGCCAATAGAAGAGCGCCCGGCCGTGGTCCTCGTCTACAGTAACATACCCGGAGAATTGCGAGAATTCGACCGGCGGCTGGCCGGGAAGGGCCGCGATGCGGTCCCTCTCTTGCTCTTCCGGGACGGCAACGGCGGCGGAGAGGAAAGAGAAGAAGAGGCAGGCGGCGGAGAAGTAGATGATGGGAATCGGAGACTTAGCAGTGGCCCCCATTGCAGCACTTCCTCGTCTATTTTCCTCTCCTTTTTGGTTTCCCTGGCCTGCCTTTTTATAACAGGGGAGGAGGGACGCGACCTTATATAGATACATATATATATATATATATATATATATATATATATATATATATATATATATATATATACACATACATACATATACATATGAAAGGAAGGAAGGATCAAGAAGTTAAATTAAGTAATTAACCCCCCTAATGTGTATAAAAAAAAGACTCTTTTTTTAGAGTAAGTGTGGACTCTGGAGTTACATTATCCCAAATAGTGTAACTTTGTGACACTATAATCCCGTTCCTAAAACTGACTTTCAACTTTGTGACATTATAATTCCTTCACTATTAGTCCTTCAATTTTACGTCAGCTCCCCAAATGAAGTTTTTTTGACAGTAAATATTAAAAGTTAAATGGAATACTAGTTCCATATAATACGAGAAAATTCTACTAGGTATAACTACTCCGTATCATATGGAGCTAGTACTCCATTTAGCTTTTAACGTTTGTTGTCAAGAGGAACTCGTCTAGAAGGCTGAAATGCACTTGAAAGACTAATTTTGAAACTTGAAAGATCAATCGTGCATAACTCATAAAGTTGTTATGGATTTTTAAAACTTAAAGGATCAATCGTGCCGAAATCATAAAGTTGAAAGACCAAGAGTAGAATATAGCCAAAAAATATACAAAATCGGTTACGAGTCGATCAAAAGTGGTGTCAAATGTGGGGTTCGGGGTGAACCAAAGTAGTAATGAAGGAGAAATGGTCATGCCACACTAGTCACCCATGGCGGACCTACATCATGCTCGCCCACGCGCGGCTCATGACTCAGTCTCATGACCAACAACCACTCAGTAGTCAGTATTTATTTTCTTTCCTTTTTTTGACACAAATTTACTCACTCCTATCTTTCTCCTTTTGATTTTCTTTTCTTTTTAATTATTTATAACGGATTTCAATTCTCTCTCTCCTTTTTTCTTTTGCTTTTGATTTCTTTCCATTACCACAGCAAATATAAGTAAAATAATGATGGTCTGCTGTTACAATAAAATAAATTCGTATATTTATTTTTGGAATAAAAAGATTTAATCAATGCAATAAAAATGAGAGGAAGGAACCGGCGGAGACAATGCATCCCCCACTCGTCCCTATGCCACCCTCACAAAAAGAATTGCTTCAAAAATAATTCAAACCCCACTCATCATCCAATCATCATCAACTCTTATTATTTATTTGTGCTAAAAAAAATTTGTTTTTATTTATTTTTAATTTTTAAGACAAAAAATTAAGTAGTTATGCTAAAGAGTGAAGAAATAAGATATTAATTAAAATATCTTAGAATAAAATTCCATAGATGGTTCTGGAGTTTCTATAGATACCATGAAATTTTAAGATATTACATTTGTGGTCCTCAATATATATACTCTCTCCATTCACTAAAACTAGGGGTGTAAATGGATAACCGGAAATCCGATTACCGTCCGCATCCGTATTCGTTTAAATGGAAAAAATCCGCATCCGTTTTAAACGGATATTATCCGTATCCGATTAAGCACATCCGATTGATAAACGGATGCGGATTTGGTAATTACTGATCCGATCCGTTTAAAATCCGATCCGTGTATACATCCGTTTATATATCCGCATATCCAATTATCCGATCCGTTATACCGAATATAGGTAATAAAAAATTATCCGTAGTTAAAAAAAATTATCCGTAGTTTAGACTAATTAATATTTTTAGGAAAAATTATCTCAAATAATCCCACCTTTTAGTGCTCTTTCAAAAATAATCCTACTTTTCACTCTCACCAGAAATAATCCCACCTTCCCGCATGTTTTACAATTTTTGTTGGTTGTTGCAAGGTCAAATCATTTTGTTGTTTGATTTGTAGATTCAGAAACTTGGTTTAGGATTTAAAGATTTTGGTTGTGCTTGGTTGATTTTAGATTTTTAGATTTTCATATTACATATTCGGATATTCGGATGGATGTTTTTTTCGGATACGGATACGGTTTTTCCTTATGAATCGGATGTTTTATCGAATCTAGAAACGGATTTGGATTCGGATTTTTTACTAGTCGGATGCTCCATCGGATGCGGATATATCCGAATCCGCATCCGTATCCGCCGGATTCGGATTCGGATTTAGTATCGTAAACATCCGTCGGATACGGATGCGG